ATCTCCGGACCACACATCTCGAGCAGCAACTGAAGGAAGTCTTTTTCAAACCCTGCAAGACTCGTCAGAATCAAGTCAACACTGACTCACAGCTATGCCCTCACGGTTCACCGCAACGTCACTTCCAAGATGTGCACAATCCACATCATCAAATGCCGCGATTGCGACGTAATCGAATCGACGTGGCGTCAATACTGCCCCTCCACCCCACCGAACCGCCTCTGTCAACGGGGGCAAACAAGTCTTATCACCACGTACCTCCTCCGAGGCCACTGTGACCTCTGTCTGACGAAGACGGGGACGTATGGTACACTCGCCTCCGTCGAGACCACGTCAACAATGACACACGAAATCATGAATCAGAAGAGTAGGTCCGGAGGTTTAAATATTCTTCGCGACACAGGGTTGGTCACCAGACTTGGCATGGGATTGAAACGGATGGCATCTGAAGCCAGAAGATTCTACTCAGGTCTAGAACACGGTCTTTCGAGCAGGGCCAAGACTCGATGGCAGGGCGTGAAGCAGAGGATGAGCAGAGATCTAGAGCTTATCTCGCAAAATCGAACACGTGGCTTATGATTCTACATTATGTACTCCGCCGCCACTCAGGTTTCTGACGTGGCCTTGGGATTAATGCAATGCGGTGCCATGATGTTGGTAAAATCGTTACATTTCGTCCCTGGCCATCGTTTCCGACACGATGGGTTGAGTATAACCACTCGACGTCATGTTGCAAGGGAATGTAGATGATACAAAAGATGTATAATATACAAAGAATGTAGATGCGACTTGCACCCGGGTTCTTGTTGATGCTCCAGAATTCCAGGATTTCTCACGTCTGGTTCCGTCAAGGACTCCCTGTAAACTCCGCCATGGATAACTCAGCCCTCAAATTTGAGGGGTGGCAAGTCATTTGACAACGGTTCTGCAGGAATTCCAAACTTTTCTGGATATAATTACTGCGTACTAACGTGAGAGTTCTAGCTTCCACTGGAAGTAGGTGTCCAAGGTTTGAACAACATCAGACGAAGACAGGCAAAGTCTTCCGTGTCGCCGCGCCACCTAACATCGTTGGTTGATGTTGAAACAAACTCGGTGCCCCCCTTTGTAGACCCCTCTTTCCCCTCTGTTACGACAGGCATTAGTTGATATCACATACCAAGTCAAATTGAAGATTACGCACAAATTCTGTCCACGGAGTCAAAGATGGCTTCGTACATGCATGTGAACCGGTATGTCGTGCCATTTGGAAGGTATCACCGGCCCCGCCCGCACTGTAAGATGTGGGAAACTCCGTACCCCACCCGAATCTCCAACGAGCTCGAATCTTCGCGAATCTCGTCGAGAAGTCTGAAAGCAACGCTCGGATTCTTCGTACAACGCAACACGCAGGATGCGGTCCCACTACGATATTGAGAAAAGCAAGAAAAGACAAACTTAGAGAAATAATGCATCCCCAGGCAAGGGTGGGAAAACCCTCAGAATCCACCTGCATTGGGAAGTTGGGTATTTGTACCATGAAAGCTGATACTGGTAAATGAATTGAACAGAGAGCCGAATTGAGCTGTCACGGGCTGACGATTGGCTTTCGACCAAGGCAGGGAATGATCACCGCTGACTGCCAATTACACACTACTCCGTGGGTAGACATGTCGATCCTTAACGCGGGCACGCGGGCTTGCGTAAATTACCCATGCATTTTGTGGCCAAAATGATGCGGCCACTAATTATCCCACATGTCCAACTTGCGCGGCCTTAGTCTGTGATCTGCGCTGGCGCAAAAAGTTGTCGAACCGGAGCCAGCTCCGACTCAGATGTCACGGGGACTCGAATATTGGGCTCCAAGTCATCAGGACACAATTCACGGCGTGCGCAAGCCTTGCCATGAAAGATTTGGTAACTATCTGTCTGGTATCAATTGGTGGACGAGCTCATGCCAAGAATCGGTGCCTCACAGCGCTAGATTCCAGAAGATAATGTAGATGCAACACAGTGTCGCATTCATCCGAATGAGCAATATCAAAATAGCGGCGTAGAGCGATGCGGGAGACGTCCCTAGTCGCCGACGTCAGCCACCCCATTGCCTGTCATGGTCTCATAGACCCTTAAAAGCAATGGGCAAGGGATCGTTAGGTTTTAAAGCTTTTGCACGACTCAAGAAGCGTCTCCACTGACGGCCATGCTAAGGGTGCAGCAGAGTCAGGAACAGAGGGAGGGCTGGAATGATAAGAAGACTCAATCTCGTTGGGCGCCAACAGTCGCCGAATCATTGCCGCAACGAATATCCGCATTCCCACAGGACCAGAAGTCAGAGTAGTAGGAGGACTTTAGTGTACCAAATATCAAGACGACTAGCGTGAAGAACTCGATAATGCGGAGGAACTCTTCCAGGAGGATGATGAACCAAGTCCGACGGTTGAATTGGCGTGGGCTGGTTTAGATAATCCATGGAAAACAGCACGCAAAAGGCATTGCAACGACATGACATGCAGGTCCCTGCCTATTTGCCTGCCGCGAACCTCTGCGATCGTTCCGCTCAAGGCGTGCCACGGTGTTGTCTCCAAAGCTGTCCAGCATGTGTCTGTATGAATCCGCTCTTCTGGGACCAACGGAGAGCCCCCATTGCCGGAAGGATTTGATGATTCGTTGTCCGTTTCAGGACAACCCAAACCATTCAACATGATGATGTTGCCCTTGCCGGATCCCTGCATGAAAAGGCCCAAGTCGGACAGTCGAATCTGCCAATCTGGTCGGAAGTGTCCGTCATCCGCCACGCTGTCGGGCAACGCCCCAGTCCCCGCTCAACGACCAGGGGCCACAGCTCTGGACGGCGGGGTAAACCTTTGCGAATACGACTTTGTCAAGTTGATGAAGCAAGCTCTTCCGTCTAGCATACCTAGGCGGTAGGATAGCTAGCCAGCCGTAGGTCTCGTGGGTTCAAAAGTTGATCATTCTCTTCATTCCCGCGAAGTCAATTGCGCAATCAGACAATGTTTTTTTTTTCTCGGGTTATGCGAATCCGCGTGACAGACTGCATGGCCTGTGCAGGACTTCTGCTTTTGAGGGCGGCGCGATCCCTGAGAATCCGTCTTTTCGAAGGGATCGCCAGGCTAACGGGCCATCTTTGGTCCAACCATCGCGTCTGCGTGGCTGCGTGGCTGCGTGACTGCTGTGCTCCAAGCTACCACATCTGCAGTAGAAAAAGCATCAGCCTCAATTTGGCGGGGACCCGAGTCAAGGTTAATCGCTGTGTCCGGTAGCTTTTAGCTGGATCCTGACGGGAGGCCCAGAGGGCATTCCCGTCCAGGGTCTCATCTTAGGGCGGGACGCGGCCATGTTGCTCGAAGGCACCAGAAACTTTACACAGCAGGCACCCTGAGGTCTGTGGTCGCTAGTTCGCTAATACGCCGCCAAATTCCGTGGACTTGACTGTTCTCAGGATGTGGAGGACGGTGTCGTGCCTAATTGACACAGACCTCATCATGTGAACCTGACAAGGGTAGGGATTGACTCTTTTGCGTTGTCCGACATAACCGATCGTATGTTGTCGTGAGATAGAGGCGAACTCGACCATGATGCTCCGAAGCTTCGAGGAAGCCAAAGATCCGTCGTCCCGCGACTGAAGTAGAAGGGGGGGGGGGGTTTTTTTTCTGCCCTCGTGGTCGAGAGAATCCACGGGGCCATGGTGCGTTTTGGATACCCCCATTCCTAGTAGTGTCGATGACGTCTTGCGAACCGTTGTTCGGCTTGAGAGCGGCAGGGGCCTTGGCTGGACAGATAACCGGAGAGCCACGCGGGCGGCCCGGCCACGCCTGGCTGTCCTACCCTTGCTGACGTGAAGTGTCTGGGCAGTGAACCACCACATCCTCCTCAGATCGACACCTCAGCATTGGCACCATGAGCTGCCGTATTGCGACCGGAGCGAATAGTCCAGACCTCGATGCAGATACTGGACGTTGGGACGACCGGCACTCGGAGGCCGAGGCCAAACAATGGCAGTTGTTGACATCCGAGGAGCGAAGAGAAAACACCGAGAGGTGAACGGTTTAGCGCAGACGAACCGGCCCGCCTAGTTGGTGTTGGTCGATGGAGAAAACTCCCGGCAGCTGAGGGGGGCAATGTTGGATGGATGAAGCAAAGGAAGCGCAAGGCTGGCATGCAGGAAGATGACGGAAGTATGTGAGTGAAAAAGAGAGAAGAGGATAGAGGGAAAGCGAGGCAAGGAAGGGCCAGGTACAGAAATACTTTGGGTCCATGAGGTGGGATGAAGGGAAGAACGAGAGCAGGAGCAACTGAGCCGGGCAATTGTACCTGCTACATCCCACATCACCAACAAGAGTGCTAGACCCTTTTCTTCGTCTCTTCTTTTTCCCCTTTTCACTTTAGACCGTGAGACCTTCCCTGGATGAACACAACAATTCTGCTCCGACTCCAATCGACGGGGTTCCGAGGTCAACAGGAACGGCCTAGAACCCAGGCACTTTCATCTTGTACCTTGCTGTGTACCTTACACCCGTACAGGTATTCGTCAGCAATGGAAGGTACCTACCGCTCACTTCCCGCAGTCAAGTGAGAATGGAAAGAGTGAGTGGAGGGCCACCAATCGTGGCTTCCAAGGGGGAACTCCATCTGGCTCCTCCCACAACTGGCACAAGACCACTAAAGTGTGAAGGTAAGTGCACACTACACTCCAGTCTCCCAGCCTCCGTTCTAGAAAAAAAGAGGACGAGCGGGTCCCGTTCGGTAGTACCACGCAGTGCTCCATGCGGCCCCGTAAGCGCTGCCTTGCCGCTCGGGCCTATCACAGGGGTAGACGGAGCTTTTGCTCCGGCAAAGCCCAGCTCGTTCTATGCCGTGAGTTGGAGATGCCCCCATTCGACTTTTTGCCCGCGCGCGACCTCCCCTTCCTTGGAGTATTCCCACCCGTTCCCCCATTGAAGGGGCCTTGGGCCCCAGAGTTGTGGCTTTGCACCCTCCAATGTACCTTACCTGACCCGGACATGGGCCTGACCTGGGGATGCAGCTGTGAGAAGGAAGGAAAAAATAAAAGGTTTACCTATGGCAAGCAATGTGTACAGAGTACGGAGTACAGAGTACCTGTATCAAGAGGGGGGGAATACCGTGGAAAAAAGAACGGGATATGGAAACGCACCAAAATATATGCCCAACCAGACAAATCAATTTTGTCCAGTATGACTAGAACTGTGCTTCACTGTCATCGCCTTATCCGCTCCATTCCGCCGCCGCCAACATTGCCCTGCCCTTCTCATCTCAACCTTTCTTCCCCTTCCACTTTTCCCTTCACAAGTTCACTCGCCCCTCGTCCGTTGCTTTCTTCCCGCCCTTCCACCCCCAGGTACAACATACATCCTACACCACCTAAACTCTTCTCCCCGTTGAGTCCGTCGCGTACACTATCCGTACTGGCTCGCCTCTCCCGCCCCGGTTCAAAGACCCTGTCCGCACTGACCAACCAGAAGAGAAGCCTTCGATATCCTCCGTCCGCGACGTCCGTCGTCGTCGAAAACGCTCCGGCCCAGCAAGGGGTCCTGGTGGAACCCATCGTGTGGCAATTCCTTCAAAACTTTGCTCTCCATTGGATGACCCGAACCAAGGTCGCGGGGCAGCCACAGCTGTTGTTTATATCAGCCACACCAAGGCCACCGGTTTGGCACGCTCTCCAACTGCCTCCGTGGTCACCTCGCCTATTATTCTCTCTGTCAGTCATTTCAATCCGGGACAATACTCTCATGTTGCCCTTTTTCAAAAACACGCCCTCCGAATCACTCGTCACACGCTGTCCGAGAGGCTCCACGTCCGTTTCACTCGGCTTTCATGTGTGTTGAGCACAAATCTGTTTGCCCAGTCTGTCGGAGACTCTTCTTAGTCTATGTCGCCTTTTGTCAAGCATACCATCCTCCTTTGTTGGAGTGTCCATTGGGTGTTGTAGTACACCCAATGCAGATGCTCGACGGGCGATGTCCGAGTCCTGTTTGTCCAAATAGCCGCGTGGGGGGCTGCTTGGTCATTTAGGAAGAAACTTAGGAAAGGCAAAAGAAAAAAGAGAAAGCAAGAGCCGACTGTAAGTGCCCTTGGCTAATACACAGTAAATTTTGGTAAATTCAATTGACTAACGGATTTTACAGCTTCTGGCCGTTATTATCAACTTCCACCACCTGGTCGATGCCTTCGTACTGCGGAATTTCCAAATTGTACTTTTCAGCAATGCCCGGCGATACGAATCTGCTCCCAAGGTCAGCCAACAAATTTCTCAAGCCTGGTGCTATGGTGGATATTGGGCATACCTTCCGCCGATGAAGTGCCGTCCTTTGAAATGCTTCACCAGTGGCTTTGGTGCTGTCAGGCTGACAAGGACCTCAGGTTGGAACGAACTCCCGGGGCCGGACTCGGGCGGGCCATTTTCGATATCCCACGATGATGGGGCGTCAACCGAAGTGACCGGCAGCTTTGTTTCCTCGAGCGCCTTGATCACCGCGGGGAAAGGCTCCCGGACCTCTCCAGAAAAGCTGAACCCTTGCCTCAAAATATCAGGCGCGTGAACGGACTATGGTCTAGACAGGGGGAAAAGAACGAACCGAAGATAGCGTCAACGATATGATCAGTAGTTTTCGCCGCCGCGAGGAAATCGTCGACGAACGCAACGTCCAAGTCCACCAACTGCTGCGCCAACCGCTAAGGAATTTTCAGTCAGCAAAGCTACGACCGGTCAACGGCAAGCCCCATGGAGAACGAAGGTCGGGAGGGGTCGATGTTTTATGGCAGCACCGTATACACGCAAAGATGCTGCCAGTTTCTTTACTCCTTCTCTCGAGAGAAGAATCATAGAGTTGTGCAATTGCATAGCGTGGCGTGGAAGGAGAACAAAAGCATTCTGGGCTCGGATGGCCAAGAGCTCAAGAGGTGTCGCCGATAGATGGTATGTAATTGCCAGAACATCCCCATGTACTATGAGCCGAACGAACCAATCGAGATAGACAAAAGCGAATGGCATCTTCACTCACCTGATACAATTCATTCTTGCTCCGCTTGGGATAGTAGATAGTGGGCTTGTAGCCATAGTGACAAAGGTGTCGGGCAGCCACTAGGCCATCGCCACCTGTACAGAGGTCCTGGTCAGATGCTTGGTGATTGAGACGGGGGAATCTTTGGAAGGGTGCTCACCGTTGTTACCGGGGCCGCATGCAACAAGAATGTTCAGACCTCGACTAGGAGGGTGAACGCGATAGACTGCACCAAGGTGTCAATCGAAAGCTTGAGCAAGCATTGGCCGTTGCAGGAACCCACTCGCTTGTGACACGGATAGTCCGGCAAGCTCCATGAGCTGGTCGATTGAGAAGGCACCGGTGCTCATGAGGTCCTTGTCCAAGGCCGCGGCCGCCTTTGCGCCGATAGTCTATTGGTGTGTTGCTGTCAGCGAAGCCTCTCTGATGCTACTTCTAACCACTAACTCTGAGGGACATGTTGTCGGCGTTTCCAAGATACTTCCGCTTGAAACTTTGTGACGTTGACGTGTGAGGCTTCAGGATAGTTTCCGACGACTCCAGAGAGTTGACGTGAGGTTGGGGTGACGGTTCGAGATGTTCTGGGGAAGTAGGAAGGTGGATGAAGATGGAAGGGACGTGCGACGGGCTGACATCACTCCGCATCGGAGTTTAGCACACCGGTCAGTAACGAACCACACAACCGGACCGCAGGAACCACCGCCGGTTCGGCAGTCACCGACAGACCCACACAGTTCACACAGTGCCCTTGCAGTACGAATCGAATCTCCCACACGCTGTCACGCTGTGCATCGGGTTCAAGTTTGCCACCGAGAATAGGCATGGAAATCAGATCTGTGTAAATTTTCGTGCTTCACTGATTTGTACAATAGTCAAATGCCACCGGACTTGATACCCTAGCATACCCTTCACAAGGCCCATCATTCGATCAGAATCCTCCCCCAATTGCCTAGAAGCCTAGAATGGAAGCTGTTCGACAGCGTAATGGTGTCCCTTGAAATCCTTAAAGCCGACGTCTCTCACAGGATACCCCCCAATATCGAGAGCTGCCTCAACCCACCCATTGTTGGTCTCCCCTCCCCACGTAGCCTCAGAAAAAGCCCGCATCATATCGGTGCCATTCAGCAGCGAGCTCGAAGTCCACAGCTTCCCGTCATGTGCCCAACGAGTCTCAACCCAATCGACGACCGGAATACTCTTCTTCATGGCAGAGACAATCATGCGGGGGCAAGTCGCCGTCTTACCAGCCAGAAGGCCAGCCTCGAGAAGCGGGAACATACCACCACAGATGGTCAAGAAGGCGCTGCACTGCTCGTAAACCTTGCGGATGAAGGCGAGCTCGGCTTCGCTGGTCTTATACTTTAGGTCATGAGCTCCCATGAGTGCGATATCCAAGGGTGGACAAGACTCAAAGGAGTCCTGGGTGGTAGGTGTCAGTGTTAGAGAATCTCTCTACTGGGACGGTGGTGCCATGTGCTGCTTACGGTTGGCTGAATCTGAGCTCTGCTCTTCATCTGGGCCGGTTTGCCGTCCTCGGTGATCCAATGTAGGTCAAACTCGATATCGTCCTCCCACATCTCCTGCGGTAGGTTCAGCATTTGACGGGAAGTCTTATCGGTCCAGGCAAAGAATTCAAAAGGTGCAACGTCGAGCATTTCGGTGACGCTGTAAATGTCTCAGCTTACTTGTGGCAGGGAATTCGAGGAATTATGGTTTGGTAATTACCCTTTGGTCAATATGACACCGGCATGAATCTTGCGGTTGGGCTTGCTGAGATTGAACTCCATGGTTGTGGGCTGAAAAGTAGCGTAGAGCGGGAAGAATGGCGATTTCTCAAAGTTGAGTATGTGTGAGTGTAAGTGATAGTGACCTAAATGCTTGTGGTCTCTTCGAATGGTAAGGCCATTGGAGTGGCGTGAAGTAGAATTCTTATAACCACTTACACGGACAGAAGATGCCATAGCGCAAGACCGAAGGGCTCAATGCGTCCGTGCGGCCGGCCCGTACCGGAGTAGTTGCACGGCTGTTAGATCCGAGTGGGTCCGGAACTTAGGTCGACTTACGACCGAACTCAGTCAAGAAACACGGACCAACCTTGGCTTAACATTGCATGGAGATGGCTGGCTGGAGATTTGGGCTGCGTACCTTCCGAACCCTCGAAGGATTAAAGCCATGAGTTACCGGGGTAATTGTTAACAATCAATTCCTCCCGGGGCGGAATTGGACTCTGAGCGACGGAGACGTCAATGTATCGCAGGTGGTGCACATGGGTTAGCAGTTCAACGGGACCGTTATTGATACGTGGGAGAAATGAAATCCATCTTCATTTGCTTGAGTTGATGACTATATGTATGTTGTTCGCTAGGAAGCTATGCGTGAGAAAACTATTACCGCAGGTGCAGGTTCTTTCAACTCTGACTTAAAACTCTCAAATGACTCCCTCGAACCGCTTGCTACCAATGCCCGCTCTTTGTCTTCCTTTGTCCTCTCAAGCCTTCTGTTGTATTCATCTTGCGGTTTCTCCGTAATAGTGATGTAAACGATGATCGTCAATAGGAGAAGACCCACGACGACGGCGACAGTTACAGTGCCGGTGCTGTTAGCTGATGAACCTGAGCTCGCTGGCTTGATGCCATTTGTGGCTGATGTAGATGACTGGGAACGGTTAGTCTCGAATGGATGCCACATTGGCTTGAAATTGAGGGCAATCCCCACATTTGAAGTTGCTGTAGGGTGCACGGAAGGGGTGGTTGTGGTCTCGGGACATGACAAAGGATGAGCTGGCAGAGTGCCGTATGAAGACGGACTTTCGTGCACGCCTGATATGATGACCCTTTTGAATGCCTGAGTTTGTGAGAGTCAAGGAGTTCTGTGGCAATGAGTGTGACAATGGGATCTTCAGGGTATGATGTCTTCAGAAATAAGCGATGAGGTAACATCTCCGGATGCTAGAATGTGTGGCTTCGGTTGATGGTATTTAAGAGAAATCCCATCACCATTTGATACCTCTTCGTGCGGCTCTGTCAGCCATTTCACGTGGCAAGCCAAGCCATAAATTCGTCGAACGCCGCAAGAGTTGTGCTTGTAGTCATCCATCTTAAATGGTTGAGGTGAGAGGCTCAAAGTACCATAGTCATCGTCGCCACGGTCGAAGAGTGCGCTCTCATGGGCGTCAAGTCACCGCATCCATCGAATCGAGCCTCAAAGAAATTATTGAATTCGCTTGCAAGCGCCACATGGGAGTTTGAAGCCGCCCACTTCACTTCATGGCTCGTGTCAGTTGACACTTTGGGCCCTTCAGCTTGGCACGTAAGTAGTAGTCAGAAGACAACGCCACTGCTGTGATAAAACCTGTGAATCATCTTGCTGGGCTAATGAGAGTGAGACCAGCTGGCATTGACTGTATGCTCGCGTCAATAAATAGGCGAATCATTTCTTTCCCACAAAATTTATGGCCACTCGTGGATTGTCGCTGAAGGGAGGCTGCTTACATCATGTTAGTTGACTGCATACCTACTTGGTGCACGTCTCTCGGAATGAGCCGGATTTGGGCTCGCCGAAGAAGCTTGGCTGATCTTCCAAACCGGGCACCTCATATGATACTCGCGGTTGAGGCTAGTCATACATGCCACTGCAAGGCCGTGCTCGCCTATTCACGTTCAGCGGCAGTTAAAGTCACCTTCGTTCAACATCACACAAGTTTTACCAAGGGCCTCTCTCTTTAAAGAACTCACAGCCGTCAGAATGGATTTATACATGAAGTCACTGGTGTTTGGTAGCCCCATCCTATCAGGGGCTAAAGAGCGATTCCGAAGATGCTCAAAAAGCATTTGGAAGACAGACGAGTAATAGATTATTGGTGGTGTAGGTTACCACAAAATGAGCTCATAAACTGCACGCTCATGGTGGTAGGGTACGCACAAGCATGGCAGCCTTTCAGCTACACAAACGACTTCACTCTCCCAAACCAGTCCATAGAGTCCATCAGGCCCTGTAACGCTTCTGAAAGCCATGGAAAAGACCTGCTACGAGGCTAAAAGAGATGTCTGATATCAGACAGCGTATGTGTATGTTGAAAGATGAGAAAGTGGGCGAGGCTCACGATTCCTCCGATGGGTGTATTTAAGGTAGGTAAAAGGGACATTTGTAAGGCTCCTGTCGTCTTCTTGATACTTTCAACTTACTAGGTGCTGCTCAATACTCCAGCACATTATCCCAGAAGATGAGCCTCAAGGTATATTCAGTGATCCTCTATGTGTTCATCATTAGTCACGTTGAAGATGTTTTGCAAGATATCAGGGGCTGGGAGTTACTCTCTACCTAATATTTGAGATTGCGAAAGATTGAAAAGGAGATGTACCAATACGGTAGAAGTGAAGAATAAGCCTTGCTGTCGTTGCGATGAACATCGTCTTACCATACGCCTAGTAAATGATTTTCCAGTGGCTTCAGGTTGTTGTCCACAGACGCCTTGGCCCTCAAGGTGTATGTAACACGCGGCGCAATGTGTGGAATACACCGTGCGTACTCATGCGAGCCTTCCCTTATATCCCCCCTCAATTCTGTTCCTGTCACCAACGGCAGCAGGCGCCTCACAGGCCTGTGAGGTCAGGTCAAACTGCCGTTTGGCGGGATGGTTACGGGCGAGCCTGTTCAACTAGCTTAGCCTAAGCCAGGATTTCAGGTTCGAGTCCCGGCATGTGCACCAGAGATGTAGCCCCCAGTTCAGCACCGGGGGGGGTGAACTCTTTTGATAGTGTCTACCTTGAATTTTTGGATCCTTCTAATGACTGCCGATGTAAGTCGTGGCTGACATTAGAAGGCTCTACTAGTGAAAATAGATAGTGAAGCATGTATATATCTGGATGTAGAAAGTTCAGAAGTAGCTATATGCGGGTGACATTTTATGCTCCTTCCATGGCCACCTACCCGTATAGAAATCGCGCTTTACCTTGATTATGATGGCCCATCGACGTGGTATGGGTTTTCAATCAATAGCCATACTGCATGCAGGCTATTCAATCTATCTCAAAGCCTTAGCGTCTTGTTTCCGGGACTCAAAGTGCTTTAATCACCACTCTTTCGGCTACATCTAAGTGCCAAGAGTTGTAGAGAGTGCCTTCACACCGAACCTCACCGAGCCAGGTATATGTGGGCCGTGCACCATTCCCTAATCGGTACGTACCCGCCTGCTCCTGAGTTAGCGGGGCTGTAAACAATCGATGTCCGTCTTTGCTGTCAACCATCCCCTCCAAGCTAAACCTCCAAAAACAAGCCCAATTCGACCATCGACACCACAACCAACAACGCCCCGTCGCCACACGATCTCTCTCTCCCAACCCTCGCATTTGTCGAAGCGAGGAAGCCAAACATCCCTGGCACCACCTCAAAACACCCCCATCACCAGAAAAGTGCAGCGCACCGCAATCAAACCTACCGACGAAAACGGGGGGTAAACAAAGCCACACCCCACCGAGAAAACCACAACCGCAACCACAACACAATGTCCCAAAACGCAGCAACGTACGCAGACTGCGTAGCCTCCCTCCGCACCTCCCTAACCTTCCTCCAAAACTCCGTATCCACCCTCGACACAGGCGTTTCTGACCTTCCCCGCCTCGCCTCCGTCCTCCGTCCCACGCGGCACTTCGAACTCATCCCCCAACCCACCCTCGCCGCCGCCGAGGCCTCGCTGCGCGACGAAATCGGCCCGCAAATCGCGAAACTCCTCGATCGCGCCGACGCGCAAATCGCGCGCCGCGAACGGCGCATCGAGACTCTGCAGGCTAGGTGCGAGCTCTTGCAGGGCCGGTTGGCTGCGCCGTCTGAGGAGGATGGGTATGGGGGCAAGAAAACAAAGGGACGAGGAGGGGGGCTTGGTGCTAGCGGAAGTGGTGGGAAGAAGGGGTTGAATGGGGAGAGTGCTTTGCGGGCGAGGGCTGTGAGGCAGAGGAGGGAAGGGTTGGAGTATAGTGTTGAGAGGCTTGAGCTGGAGGTCTTGACGAAGGAAAGGGAGTTGAGGAAGAGGCTGGATAAGGCTTGAGAGAAGGAGAGAGAGAGAGAGAGAGGGAGGGAGGCGCATTTTGAGTGTTGAGGCTGCAAGATGACGCCCTGGACTGGTGGCCAAGACATGTCCCTTCGCTGCGAGTGTCTCCATCGTTTGCCAGCTAAAGTGGCTGAGTGAAGGGCGGAAGGAGAGTGTTATGATACCCTACGACAGATAACGAAGAAGTCTTTTAATTGATGCACAATCTCCAGATTGTCAATTATGACTTACGAAGCGACTTCACACCAATAACTTGGAAAAGCCCACGTCTCCGCTACCTCCGTCTCATGACCAGCTTGGATAAGCTGTTCACTTGTTGGGCTCATAAACCCCACACAAAGATGACACAATGTCACGGTCGAGAATATGAAGACGGAATATGAATATATGCAAATGCCATTTGTAAAGCAGCAAGGGAACCCCAACATGCATGGGTATCCCACCTGCGAGCTACCATAGCTATCCGAATGACCGACCCGTTGCTCGTGAAACCCGCCCCAGAAGACACAAAAAGAAAACACACAATCCCTCTACTCGAGCGACAATGGCAACATACACTAGCAGTAATAGGGAGAAAGCCTGCACGCAGTGGTGGGCGGATAGAAGTAGAAACAACAGGTCGAAGAAGAAAAAAAGCGAAGCCGTTTAGGCGGATATACGTGTGCCGCCTGTGGCTCAAAAGAGGCGGCAATGGTTTTATCCCGGACAAGAGACCTTAATGTACTCCAACAAGCATTTGAGCGCGAAACCGTTCCATGTCCCATATGGTCATTTTTTGCTCCCATCTCCAACGGCGAAATGAAAATCATGAGCTCATTATAACAGGATCAGGTAGTTGCTCGGCGCAATACCCGTCTCGCCCGTCTCCTTGCGTGCCTGCCACCACCTTCCACTCACGTCACTGACCTCCAGAATCTCGTGCTTTGAGAAGGAGATCTCGTTCGCGTCGTCGGGGTTGGCCTCGTAACTATAGATGGCCTTCGCGCGGTAGGGGTATTCGGTGGGGGGCACCACCTCTTGGTCAAGACCAGGAGGCTTCGCTGCAGGTGGCGCCGCGTTGAATGTCGGGGCCACTCCGGAGTTGCGGGTTTGTGTAGTGGGAATGCCCTGAACGGGGGATGGGTTCTCGAAGCCATTGAGCTGCGCCGAAGTGTACATCTGGGGAGGCTGGACCGACGTTGAGGTTTCGGGCCGACCACCGCCGTACATCATCTGTCGGTTTCCAGACTCCTTCTGCAGCGCGAAGGAATCGAGGTAAGCGCGCGGCTTCGCTGACGGGGCGGAGCCGAAGTAGAAGATCCAGACAATCTACAGGGACAAGGTCAGCATTCGATCCTCACCTCCGTAGCGGAGAACTTACGGTAACCATGGCCATGAGAATGAAGCCAGCGCCAGCAGCCTGGCGAGCACCGTTGGAGGAGTAGATGAGGGAGTGGATAGTCAGTGAGTTCAGGGACAGAGCGGCACCCAGGTAGCCCGTAAGGGCGACATGATAAGTTTGCGCAGTGTCTGAAGCCACAACGACGAAGACTCCTGCGATAAGGAAGAACATGTAGACGACGGTCCACCATGCGAAGGGTGGGAATGAGCCGGAGTTATTTGTGACTTGTGTTGTCGCGATGATGGAGCTAATAAAAGCAATTATCCATGCTAGCTAAGGAGACTGTTAGTACAGACATAAACAGAAGGCCGATCTATCGAGAAGAGCCAGGTATTCTCGAGGCGTTTTTGGATATCGACGTACCATGGAAATGGAGACTGTAGCCAGGGCGAAGGGATCACCAATGATGTTCCCCAAATTAATGCCCTTCCTCCCGTACTGAACCCTCGATTGTTCCATTTTGCGCAATGATGGTGAATGAAGAGAGCCGTAGGATGGCATAGAGAATGATGTGCGAGTTCGATGGACGAAGAGTCAATTGCCTCGGAGCAAAGTTCGAGAGAAAGCCTCGAAAAATGTCACGGTTGCGAATGTGAGTCGAGCGACTTGAAGACGTCGACAAGCGAGTAATCGAAGCGAAGTCTTCGGCAAAATGGGCGAAGCGGTGCCAATCCAACGGTGGATACGTAATTCGAATGCCGCGAGGGGGTTGTCGTGGCTGGAATGCAAGATCTCGGAAGACTAGGGTGGAAAGGAGTGACTGGTGGTTGGGCTGTCGGCCAAAATAGAAAAAGGGCGCTGGGAGAGATTGTTGTGACGGGTGCGCTGCGTGCTGTTCAGTGCGCGACGTAGCGTGTGCGCTGTACTGAGCTGGGATGAGCTGAGCGTTATTCGACGTGGCTTCAGGTAGGCAGCGAAGGAAGGCTCGAATCAAGGCTCGAATGAACGATGCGGCGGTCGATAATTGAGATGGCGAAAGCGAGTCGATCGTTTCAGAGGGTTGTCCAGCAAGGCCGCCTCTTTTCTAGAGAAGAAAAAGAGAATGGTAGTCGGGATCCGTGAGATGCAAGATGGGAGCGATGAAGCGACGAAGCGAATCGAAGACGGAGATGAATTGCTGTCGATTGGGGGAAGAAAGGGAGAACCGAAAGTCCAGAGTCGAAGGAGCGAGGAGGAATCGGAAGAAAAGGATGTATAGGATTAGAGAATACAAGAGTGGAAGACGAAATCGATGTCGAGTCGAAAGTCGAAGGAGAGACTGGAGGTGGGCTGCGTCGGGAGACGGACAGCAGTTGTAGGAACAGCAGGCTTGAGCCAAGGCTGGCGGTAGAGGAGAGAAGGGGTAGGCGTTGTTGGCGGTTGACCGCGTGAAATGAAGGGCAACGACTAGCAAGATCCCGAAAGAGGAAGTAGGCGGCGTGGATAGCGAGGCAGAAAAATGCCGCCGGACCAAGCAGACCAAGACCAGCCAGACCCAACTCACAGTGGTGCCGTGAGAAGAGAAGGAGGCGCGAGTCTTGTGGCGTCGATTTCGGTGCTTGTTTGGCGTCTTTCCTTAGCACTGGGTTCTCGGTCGCAACGGGTGAAGGTGGTGGTGTGCCTGTTGTTGATACGGATACAGAGAGAATCTGTACACCTCTCTCTCTGTGTTTCTCAGGCTTGTAAAGGCTTGAGTTGAGAGAGAAGGGCTAGACTGAGCTGACTTGCTCGTGGCACCCCCGGATCGCGTGTTGATGTGCAAATCCGCGCCCCTATTTTCTTCTGCGGTGCCTGTCGGGTGCCGTTGCGCCCCGGCGTAAGATGTGGGCTCGTTAGGTACTCGTTTGGTTTGGCGCTGCGGCTCGTGTCGTGTGCGCTTCTGCTACTACGGCGGCGGCGGCGATTGTATTTGTTGTTGACTCTTCGGCCGACCCTCTTTCACACTGCTGATGGCTGTCCAATTCCTTTGACTGGGCGAATGGCCAATTCCCGGTTCCTTGACTCTCTGGCTCACTCAGGTGGTCGACAGCGGGCAGCAACGGGGGGAACCGTTTTTTTTTGTCGCAGAAAAGGGTTGAAAGGGATGAGAGGAATGGACGGTGGGGTGGGAAGAATGGAAATAAAAGAGGACACAGGCACACAGGGCAGGCTGCGGCGTAAGAGTGGAAGACTGGGCACTCTGACAGACAACCAGGAACCTGACTGAAGCAAGCGCAGATAAGATGCAAGGGTTGTAGCTGCAGGTTCTCAGGCTGTGCTGGCTGTGTCTGCGACTTCCTGGTCTACCACCTTTGAGTGGAAGTATCCGTATCCGCAAAGAGGGCAACAGGCAGGAGGACTTGACGAGGGAGGAGGGAGGGTACTGGACGGTGGGCCTACGTGGTAGAGTCAATGATACGCAAAACGTGGTCGTGGACCAGCCTCAGGGACCCAGTGGCAGGTGGAGAGGAAGGAGGAGGACCCAGACCCGGAACTTAGGCACACTGCGCGGGCAGGCGGTAGGTGAGGGTGGACAGTAAGCGAGAGGAGGGGGACGTACCCATGTACCTACGGATACTTCTTGCTGCGAGAGGGAAGGAGAGAGAGGAGACGTGGAAGGAGTCAAGAACAGGAAGTCACGGCATGCAGGTCTACTACTAAGCGATTCGTCGCTGCACTGCTGAGATCCAATGCAAAGGGGGCATGCGGGGGGCAATGGAAGTAGATTATAGCCCCTCATCAAGTAATTGATGGCCAGTGCAGCCAATATGCACCTGCTCGAGAACTGTCCGTTGCCAATGAAATCAACCGGGCAGCGCTGTATTGCAGGCGACATGATGTAGGCGCAGACAGATTCGCACACAAAAGTCAGGTGTTAGGTACATCCTGGAAGGGGAATCTGCGCCAACCGAACTGAACAAATGGTACTGCGGAGTATTCGTATGTTAATCCCAAGAGAAGACCTGGTGGGAAGGAAGGCAGTCCTGGATGACTGCTTCCCGCTGTCTGTTGCACCGCACTGTGTCGAGACTCTCTATTGAAACTGTGCGTACGACTGGACGCGTCCCTTCCATTCGGTACGGGGCGAGGTAAGATACCGCAGGTACGTAGTCGCGCACCTATCTACCTTAGGTAGGTAGGTCCATTACCTGTGCTTTCCCAGGTTCAACAGAAGGAACGAGTCCAGCCCTTCTTGACGGCCTGGCCCATTCGATCATCGTGGAGAGTACATATCCCAAAAGAGCCGTCTGATAGACTGGTACCTGCCCACCGTGCTCATCTTGGGGGGATCTCCCGCCAACTCCCCGGTTTCCTCTATCAAATCCCCAGAAACCGTTGGTCCCTGCTTGTCCATCATTAGGTCGGCTCTGCTGTCTGTCGTCCGTGTCTGTCTCTGCCTCGCCCCCCCTTGTCTGGAAGTCGTGGCTAGCGGGTTTGAGATTTTTTTGACTTTCCAAGTGGCCTTTCGGGGTTCCTGCAAGCCATCCCACCAACAGCATTGGACGAGCTAGTGGATTACGGAACAGCATTGGCCATGAACACTGCTTACCCCTGACGCATGCCCCACTCTATCCGGGTGCGAGTTACGTACCTCAACTCAGCGGTTCCCTCCAATTTGGTCCAGCTCAGCCCTGACACTGCTTGCCTTACCTGAGCCTATCTATATCTATTCGCAGACAAGAGGAGCGAAGATCTCGCCCAGTCTTGCGCACTTGCTCCGGATATATCAACCAAAAAATCACTTTTGGTGGTAATGCCTATCGATTGTGGATAATGCCACTGTTGTCTCGACATCTTCCATCGTCACGACGGTGTCAATCGTCTGTCGTCTCTGACGCAGGGGCACCGCACCATGGCATCACTACCCGCCAGTTTTTCGCCGTTTCATTACGACCACTGACCCAGTGTGGTGGTGTATCCATATCGCAAGCGCGGACAGAGATCAGCATGCACTCACTCGACATGGTAGGTAGGATGAGTTACTTGAGTAGAGAGTAATGCCACCGATGGCCAATACTAGAGAGCCGAGTCTCCCGATCTCAGACACTTCGATACCCAGCTCTTGGACCCTCACATGTTTTTCGCTTGTCTTCTCCGGGATAGATGCTATCATGCCACCGACCGATGGTCCGGCTCTCCTCCGAGGCACACGCACAGCAGCGCGCTACGGCAACGAACTTCACAGCACGGCTCCTGACAGCTGTCCGGATGGAACCTGATGATACCGTGCCGCGGTCAGAGCCGCCGTGATCGACTGGGTCAGACTAGACTGTATGCCTTTGACCCGTTTGACATGCAGGAACACGGGTGCCTGTCACCTCGTACTCGCCCGCGCTTGACTCTCGAATTCTTGAACCCGACAGCTGCCAAACATCTGCATCTCTGTATGGAGTTTGTGGAGCGCTGGAAGGCGCCTATCCAATTAAGCTGTCGTCCAAATCTTGTTCGACAGCGAACCATTCGTACGAAAGACATCCGTTGGCGTCTTTCAAGTTCTGAAACCACAGAAACCAAACAGAAGCTACCGCCACAAAGCTGTCTCACAAACGCCTAGCATCGCGACCGAACCTCGATATGTCTAGATCTCGGAACGCGGCTTCGTCTAGTGACAACAGTCTTCTTCGTCGCCTCGTGAGCACGCCTTCTCCACTCCGACTCTACTATGACAGATCTCTCCCGGAAGACGCATTAGAATTTTCGAGATAGTCTCACGATCTGGCTTCTGGTCACAGGCTTGTGGCACTATGGAGAAAAGGCGCAAGCTTTCGGTCTAGGATAGCCGTTGCTGCTACGCAAATCGCTCAGCCTGTCGCATGTCACTGACATCTTCTTGACTCGCGCTCTCTCCTTTCGTCCCAACATCCCTCTTTTATCATAATGCGTTTGCGTTTCTGGGGGAACTCCGAAGATCCTGATGATCAACTACCGTTCAAACGGCCGGAACGATTTTTGGCTGAGCAACAGTAGCCTGTCGAACAGAGCTCATGTACATCCAACCTTTCACCTGACCTTTAGAACCCGTCCAACTAGAAATAACGAGGCCTAGCATCGGCCTTGAGTCGAGTAGATATTGCTCACGATTGCGAATTTGAAATACCGCCATTCAACGATTCACATACCGTTGGGGTGGTCGACAGGTCCTTTTGTGACTATTCACTCAGGCACAGCAACTATCTTGGTTCCCATCGCAACCCATCTTCTGCCATGGGCGCATTCGATGCTTCAAACGGTTCATACAAGATCTGTACATGCCATCGTCTGCGAGAGGCCTAGCCTTCTGCGTGTGTCCAATATGCGAAATATCAGACGCGGAGGGAAACGGACGGGCTTGCTCTCAAGGCCGGAGAGACTTTAGATGAGTCGGCGGACCTCTTGTTGAACCGGCAAGATGTGGTACGTGCAGAAAATCTCTTTTCCTCCATCTCTGATCACCAGTCGTTCATTGACGCGGGCCCATGGTGGGCACCGTTCGAGCTTTGCTGGTGTTCATGCACCCGAAG